GTGATGTTACGAAGGAGTAGTTTTCAAATTCATAGCTCCTTTTTACCTTTAGTTCAGTAGAAATAGGCAATTCCACAGCTGAAATCATCCAAATTATTCTAGTGAAGGTGTATGGAGTTTAAAAACACAGTGGAGTTTTCGTGTATTACCACAGAACAGGTAGAACAGAGTCTTTTCTGTTTGCGAGAACAACTCAGCCTGTAAATCTGCAGCATTTGTGTGTTAAACATGTGTGAATGAAACAAAACACAACTCCAGGTCTGTTTGTGATGAGGAAACAACATTTATAACGTATAGATCAGTAAATAGTAGATATGTAACAATATCCAAATCTCTCGATACGATATTATCTCGATATGCATCTCACGGTACGATATTTATTACAATATTTTGGAGAGGCTGATATAATTGTTGATAAGACTCGTTTGTGCTTTTAAAATACCTTGACAATATTTCGGTGTGAATTATTTCCATCATAATCCCAAGAATTCAAGTAAAAAACAAATTTCTTCATGTTGTCTGCGCTGAAATGAATCATGGGATATGTAGTTCTCTGATGTTTATAAGCTGTTGCTACTGTAAAACCATGCATTTAAGCAAAGAAACTTGTAATTTGATATATTGTGAGAGTTCTGACGATACGATATCACGATATTTCGGTTATTGTTACATCCCTAGTAAATAGATTAATATAGGCCCTTTAATAATATAGTTTTGTTCCTCTTTGTGCACTCACATTGTATATTTTGTTTTCTGTGTGTGGGTTTGTCAGAAAATCAATTGAGCAAGCCTAGATACTGGAGAAAGAAATCACATAAACAAGAAAAATTTTGACCTTGGAGTTTTAGAATGGGTTATATTGGACCACAAGATAATACTGAAAGAAAACCTACTATTTAATTAAAAAAACTGTGACCTACACAAAGCGGTAATACATTTGTCCAAGGTTGTAGCAACATTTTTTACTGGTATAGAGTGAGAGATTTGACCTTTTCCCGAGCACTGAGATCAATATTAAAAATCACACATGCTGTTTTGGTTGTTATGTGGTTGCTAAGCTTTTCCATCTTTCAAAATCTGCTTTAATCTGCTCTCATAATACGTCTTAAAAATAAGGTGATGGAAACTCTGGTCGCATGTGTGGCTATGCGAACTGTAAACAAGTATAAATGCATATAGTTATACACGAAAGGCAAAAATCATACTAAATTATTCTCCCAGTTCACTTTGGTACAGTTTTTTATGCCACAATATATATATTTTTTGTAATTTTAGTTGAGTTTAACTGTACAACAACTCACCTTTATGTAACAGATAACCCTATGTCCTGTCAATCATCTTATCTTGTATATAGCTGAGATAAATTTATGACTTGTTTTCTATTTTATTTTGGCTTGTACATATACATTTATATAATTAAGCCTTATCTGACACCTGTCTATCTTTTTCCTACTTATTTAGAATTTATTATTGCCATTTATATTTTTATTTTACTATTTGTTATTAAATTATATTGTGACGTGTGAGCTACTGTGTCTCGGTCTCGGTCTCGGTTCCGGTCTGGTCCTGGTCTCAGTCCTAGTCTCAGTTCGCGGGCCCAGAGACTGTCAGGTGATCAGGACTGAGACCGGGACCAGACCGGAACCAGACCCATGACCAAAGACCGGGACATTATTGATCCACAGGGGAAATTATTTGGAGAGACCAGTACCAGATCGGGATTGAGACTGGGACTGAGAACGGGACCAGATCGGGACCAGACCAGGACTGAGACTGGTTTAGTTCTGGTTTAGACCTGGTTCAGTTCTGGTTTAGACCTGGTTTAGTCCTGGTTTACTCCTGGATTCAGTTCACGTAAACGGGAAACGGCTGTCATCCATTTTTTCCATCGAAAACTGAAAAATTAATCATTATCTGTTTTTTCATTTTGGTTTTGGAAACAAATAATGAAGAAAATAGTTATTGTTTTGTTTTGTTTTTTCGTTTTCTAATTTTTCAGTTTTATTTTGAAAAAAACAAATGAACGAATGAGGAGAAAACCATCCGATGGACCCGGACACAATGCACTTTTAATAATAACCAAACAAATGCGTAATATTTTTCCCAACATAGTGCAACCCGAATCCCAAATTTTGTAAAAACTGTAAATTGTAAACTTGTGGATCAATAAAGTCTAAGTCTAAAACAAGCGCAAAAATTGATATTAGCTTTGAATAACATTTTATCTAAGCCAAAAACTGATAAAAACTACACTTAATTTCCTTATTGAGAGTGAAACTCGTAGGCTCCTCTGGGTGGAGCTCTACAGCCAGAATCTTGTACTTAATCTTCTGTATTAAAGGGAAAGCTGGATTAGTATTTAGCATGTGCATTATAGTTGTCTACTTTTTCTACTACGTATAAGATGAAAATTGTGACAGTGTAAATACCAAATTCTTGGCTCTGTTAATGTGTGATACGGTATGAGTGTGTGTGGGAGTGGAGAGTGTGAATTGTTATTGTTGACTAATTGCATTGTACAATTTATTTCTGTAAATCAGGGACTGCAGATGGAAACTAGTGCGGAACATCTCTGTTTTTATGAGCTTAATGTTTCTGTACTAAGGCTGTGCAATTAACTGAATTTTGATCGCGATTTCGATTTGTGTGTCGATCTCCAAACTCATATAATCGAGTTGAAACGATTAAATTTATTTTAATTTTAAATATAGAGATTGTAGAACAGCTGGATATATAGTTTATTTTGGATACATTTATGTTTTTCTATGCCTTATTTCATGTTCAAAGTATACGTATTTTATTAGTTTTATGTTTTATACATGGCAAAACTGCTCTAAGGTTCATATTTGTAGCCTATATTTATTTCCAATTTGAAGGTTTTGTGTAAATTATCAATAACTAGAAAAGCACTCAGAGAGCGCAGACCTCCGCCAAGGACTACCCCCATTTTTTATATAAATTGCGATAAAATCAGTCTTCTGGATCAGCTCCAGATCAGCCTTTGGAATATGAAAGAGGATCCCATTGTCCATCCCTGAGTCAAATTTCATGGGGTTTGGTCAATAATTAACCGAGAAAATGAAATCAGTTCTTCCTTTTCACATTTCCAACAAATCCTGAAAATTTCATCAAAATCGGTCCATAACTTTTTGAGTTATGTTGCTAACAGACAAACAAACAAACAAACAAACAAACAAACAGACAAACGCCGGCAAAAACAACCTCCTTGGCGGCGGTAATAAAGTGTTTTTTTGTTGTTGTTGTTGTTTTTTGAGAGAGAGAAATGCTGAATAAATGTATCGTGTAACTAAAAAATAATCGTTTGAATAATCATGATTTCAATATTGACCAAAATAATTGTGATAATGATTTTTTCCATAATTGAGCAATAGGGATGCAAAGATATCAAAATCTCTCGATACGATATTTTCACAATATACAGCTCACGGTACGGTATTTATTGTGATATTTTGTGGAGGCGAACAGACTTGTGTGAAATGCCTTGACAAGACTTAATCCAAAGAACTAAGACTTAAAAGTGCTTAGAACTGTTAATTCTTCATGTAGTTTGCACCAAAACAGAGCAAAGGATCATGGTCAATGTAGTTCCCAATGTTTTTTTTAGCTACTGCTGCATCATAACAATGTATTTAAGCAAAGAAACGTATGATTCGATATATTGTGATGGCCCACGATATTACTGAGACTTTTGACGATACGATATCACGATATTTTGGTTATTGTTACACCCCTATCAAGCTTCAAATAAAGACTAAACTAAACTAAACTAGTTTCTATGGCCATTATGATTTGAGTTCACTTACTGTACACAATCAGTTGAACAATATTTTATCTAAATGCCTAAATAATTTCTACTTTCTGTTAACACATTGTAATTTTTTTAATATAGCTGTTTGTAATCTAAGCTTAAAAGCACATGCCTTAACACACTGCACACATAACAAACCCCCACTGACCAATCAATTGCTTCTCCTGTTACATTTCTCTGTATTGACATGCTGCTGTCCGTGCGTAATGTTAACGTCACACACCGCACCCACCCCTGTGTGCGCACACGCTCCCAACTATGTCCGGAAATTTCCACTGCTCCTCTCAGCTTCACAATATTATCAACCAAAACTCTCAACTTTTCTGGTTGAGTTGAGCTTGTTTCCATGGAGATATTGCCGCTTTGCCACGAGTGTTTCAAAGTACGGGGTTTAACTTATCGATAACAATGCAAATACAAATTACCAGGCTACGTTATGTGTCAGATCTGTGGACA